CCCCCCCCCCCCCCCCCCCCCCCCCCCCCCCCCCCCCCCCCCCCCCCCCCCCACAGGCTGCAGAGAAGGGTCATGAGGACATCTGCTCCCTCCTGTTACAACACAGCCCAGCCCTGAAGGCTGTCCGGGATCGCAAAGCACGCCTAGCATGTGACCTGCTGCCCTGCAACAGTGGCCTGAGGGACCTGCTGGCCAGCTGAGGCTCCGCCTCCCATCTCTGGCTGCCCTTGAAGGGTACACAGACAGCTCTCCACACCCTGCCTTGCTCAGCATCATGCTGCCTGATGGGACCAGGGCCAGACTGCCTGGAAGAGCCCCTGTCTAGCCGGCATGGGAGCCAGTAGGAAGGCTTGGGAGGGCTGACGGCTGTGAGCCTGGACAGGTGATCATATAAGTTAGTCCTTGTAGAAACAGCTATCCATTTGGATGGAAATAAAGCTTATATCTTGACATCATTCCACAGACAAAGATAAATTTCCAGATAGAGTCCGAAATATAAAAATGCAAAACTTTGAAGTATTAGAAGAAAATACAGTGTCTAACAGCAACTGCTTTCTAGCCAAATGGTGCAGTTTTCTTTTTTTACCTGCCTGTTCCTTAGCCTCCCTGTCTGTGAGACGAAAGTGACTAGAATAGGCCTACCTCAGGGTTCCTCGCCGTCTGAGGAGGTCTGTGCTCTCCGGTGAGTATGCACGAGCGTGCGCAGTACAAACAGCACAGGGGAGTGCTCGCTGCTGGGCCTGACCTGGCAGCTGCTCAGGAGACCGCATCTCAGAAGGTAAAAAGAGAGGCTATCACTCAGTGGTGGAGCGCTCACCTGACATGCAAAAACCCTACCATTCAATCCCTAACACAATGTGGAGAAACAGTGGCCAGTCCCAAAGTCTGGATGATACTGGCTTTTATCCCAGAATTTCAGTTCTAGAAGTCCGGTTTGTACAGAGTGTAGCTGTGCCAGGTGTGGTTGCACACACCTTTAGACATGGCACCCAAGGCAGGAAGATCCCTTGGAGCTCTAGCCAGCCAGAGCTACAGAAACCATGTCTCAAAAAAAAAAAAAACAGGTAATTATAATTGCTTTTTTGTTTGGTCTGCACAGCTTGCTAGTGAGACTGTACAGCTGTCCCTGACCTTCCTTTTTGACATGGTTTTGTTCTTGCTGTGTAGTCTAGGCTAGCCTTCCTTCAACCTGGAGCCATTCTCTGGCCCCAGCGTCTTGAGTGTGTTGGGATTATAGTTATGTGTATACCACATGCATTGCCATGCTTCTGTTCATTCCCAGGAACTTTGCATATCGAGCCTTTGCTTTGGTTGTATGCATATATAGAGAGAAACGTGTATGAAATAGGCTTTATCTATGGATATTGTCTTTTGCACTGTCACTTGCCTTAAGTTGTTTGGCTTCTGGTCATGGAAACTGGCGCACACACCATAGACAGCAATGTAGCAATACCTCTTTAAGTGAGCAGAGCCAGTAGTTTTGACTTCTTTGTAGCAACATAGGAAGATTCCTTCTTGATTACAGAGATGTCTATTTACAGACTCATTTACAAACTGTGCAGTAGGGCCCAATTCCCTGGGTTCCCCGGCACTGACAGAACAAGAGATGCATTAAAATATAGTGTATATTTAAAAAGAGAGCACCTAGCATGGCGGCGAACACGTAATCCCAGGACTCAGGAGCTTAGGCAGAATTATAAGCTTGAGGCTAACCTGAGCTACAGTATGAGACTGTGTGTTTGTGAGAGAGACAGAGATAGACAGAAGGGAGAGAAGGGGAGAGCGCAAGACTGACCTACTGAGAGAAAAGACAACTGACCTGCTCCCTGGCAGGAAGGGGTCGGGCTCGGCACATCACTTGAATGTAGAGGTGGCAGTGTGGCAAGAGGGCCACGTGGTGCCCACAGTGTGACACTTTGCAGATGGCATGTGCCGTGCAGACACGAGGGAGAGCTGGGAAGATGTAGTTTCCCTGGGCCACAAAAGCAAGAATAATCAAATAGGTCTTTAGTTTTGTTTTTAAAAATAGAGAGTAAGGTTTTTTTTGTTGTTGTTGTTGGTTTTTTTTTTTTTGTTTGTTTGTTTGTTTGTTTTTGACCTAGAGATATAATACCAGTTACCTCTGTGTGGTAAAAAACTAGCATTTTCCTTTAAAAAAAAATTTTTTTTGGTTTGGATACAGGTATCTGAGCCACTGCGAAACTTTAAACCCGAGGCCGTCTTTCTTCAGCCATCTCAGTGTGAGGCATTTTGTTTATTCTTTGTTTGTCTGTTTGAGACAGGTCTTTCTACATAATCCTGGCCTTCTGGAACTGACTCTGTAGACCAGGCTGGTCTTGAACACAGAGATCCTCCTGTCTCTGCCCCCAAATGCTGGGATTGAGGGTGTGCTTCCCCCAAACCCATCCAAGTACTAGAATAATGCTCAATCATGCCCAGCTTCATCAGACGTGGGACAGTGGAGGCAGAGCTAGTCCGACTTTCTTGTCAGCCTCCTTTCCCACGGAGTAACTCCTCACAAGGGAGCACAAAAACCGAAAGACCCGGGCTTCTTTAAGAAGTTGTATTTCAGCCAGGCGGTGGTAGCACATGCCTTTAATCCCAGCACTTGGGAGGCAGAGACAGGCAGATCTTTGTGAGTTTGAGACCAGCCTGGTCTACAAGATCTAGTTCTAGGACAGGCTCCAAAGCCACAGAGAAACCCTGTCTCGAAAAACCAAAAAAAAAGAAAAGAAAAAAAAAAGTTGCATTTCCTTAAATTCTCTTAAATCCATGAGGCCGACGTGGACAACAGGCGCTCTGGTAACTCTCTGTGGTCTCTGTGGGCCTCCTTTACCCACATTTTCCCCTTGTGCTTATTTGGGTCTCCCTGTTCATGTTGCTTTCATGCCGGAGTCTTGTTTACTGGGTATCTGATTTCCTTGCAAAGGTCAAGTTGGAATTTGGGGCACGGCAGAGTGAAAAACATTTCTGGCTTCTGAAGAATTAGGAATTTGATTTTTGTTGGCTGAAGACAGTTTGTTTTGTGGCTGGCTGTCATGATCATTGCTACAGCCCAGGACTTGGAGCGGGTCTCCCTTGCCCTGGTGAAGGGCATGCTTCCTGCCCAGAGAGTATCTGGTGTGGACCTAGAAGGCTTCTTCAGCCCTATAAGGACTGATGACAGGCTGGGGCAGGACACCATGTGCTGAAGGACAAATCTGGGAGGGAAGGGCAGCCTTGAAACTAGCCAGAGAAACCTAGTTTCATCATGTAGGTCCAGGAGAATTCCCAAGGCATTAGGTCAGCATCTTCTGTTGTCCTTCCTGAGGTCCTCTGGATGCCTGCCTTGTGCCCGGGGTCTAAGCTGGTCTTGGCAGTGACACAGGCAGCCCGATCTCCATTGTGAGGCTGGGTCCCACCAGTGGGCTCTGAACTCAGAAGAGTAAGAAATGTTTCCCCTGGGCCTGGCCCAGGCATCCCAGCCCATGTGGTGGTAAAATGACTCTCTGGTAGATGGGGTGTGTGGCAGGTGCAAGGTAGTGGGAGTCTGAGGAGGTTGCCGACTCAGCTCCAACAGCCCTTTCCTGCCCTCAGTGAGCCATGTTCCCAGACTGTATTTTGGTTAGTGTGACAGGGCCCCAGAGTCATCTGGCTTGGGCACAAGCTCTGTCCTTCCCCACCCACAAGAGAGCGCTCCCATAAAAGGGCTGAGCACTCTGCTCCCTTCGCTGGGCGTGTGGAGAGCAAGGGGGGGGACCATGGACTTCATCAGCATTCAGCAGTTGGTAAGGACGCAAGGCGGGTTACTGGTCCTCACCAGTAACTCAACACAAGGTGTAGGTGGTCAGACTTTACGGCCAGAGTAATGAAGTCTGGCTGAGGGCAGACAGCATGGTTCTTTCCTGCCCAGTTCTCATGTTAGCGGGTATCAAGAGAAGGAAAACAAATGGGAAAGAAGCCAGACGATTGTAAATGGGAAAACCCTTGTGTTATTGAGTTTGTGTTTGTTTGTTTTTGGTGTGGTACTGGGGGTCCATCTTGGGGCTTCACATATGCGAGGTTAGCACTCGGTCATAGACTTGCACCCCCAAGTTTGTAGGTGTGCCTTTGTCTGGATGGTGGGAAAGAACCGGGAAGTGGTGAGTTACTCTGGAATCCATGATATAGCTGTATCATCTGGTTGGAATGTTCTGGAGGGTCTGGACTCTAGGGGTGGTATTCTTCGTGTTCCATGGGCAGTGAGAGAAAGTGACACAGTGTCAGTTTGGTGGCAGAGCATGGTGGACATGAGGCACGTATACCTCACTGGGGGTGCAGTGGCCCCAGCTGGCTCCTGGGAGGTGGACCGCAGAGCCCACTCCAGGAGACAGGAGGCTGTTGAAGCTGCTGAGTTAGAGGAAAGCCTGGGCTCTTCTGTTCCTCTCTGCAGCACTCTCACCCGCAGTCTGCACCTTCCTCCCTGCTCTCCAGCTCCCTGGATGGCTAAGGGGCTGGCTGGGTATCAGCTGTGAGCAGCCCTCGGGGATGGTTTGAGCCCATTTTACAGAGGCAGAAACAGTCGAAGACCCAAGGGCTGAAAGCAGGGATTTGGAATTTGGCCAAGGAGCTTTCTTGTCTAAGCCTGGGTCAGGTGGCAGTATGGCATGCCATAGGAATCGAGGCAGAGAAGCCCAGGGTGGAAGCTAAGGTGTCATCTGTCTGAGCTCCCAGGCATGAACCCAATATAGACAGACACCAGCTGATTTGCTGATAGCTGACAGCAAATCCCCTGGCCTTGGCCATTGCCACAGTTGATAAAAACTGTAGATTGTGTGTGTGTGTGTTTGCACCAGGTGCATTGCAGCCCACCAGGAAATGTTCAACAGAAAGAGTCAGGCTAACTCCCAGGTTCAAAACTGACTTTTGTATGTTGGATCTCAGCCATCCTGCTGTGCCCCACAAATGATCCCAAGCAGCCTTCCAATGGTCCCGTTCCTTAATCTATCCACCTGTCCTGCAGGTAAGTGGAGAAAGAGCTGATAGGAAAGTGTTGGAGTTTGGACATAGAGTTCCCGATCCTGGAGGCTGGCCTAGGGACTGGAGGCTGGGACCCCAAGAGGCCGTGGCCCGGGAGAAAATGAAGTTGGAGGAAGAGAAGAAAAAGAAAGTAAGTGCCTTGGAAAGGGGTTGGGCAGTGTGGATGACTATGAGCAATGAGGACCTAGAGCCCATGGCCACTGTCAGCTAGCCAGAGTGGATCAGTCTTAGCCAGGAGCCTGCCCTGAGACCCTACCCAGTGACTGATGTCTGGCCTGGGCATGTCTTCTGCCCTAGCTGGAAAGATTTAACAGCTCCAGACTGACTCTGGACAATATGAAAGACTTGGAAAACTTGCTTCAAAGACGAAGAGAAAAGCGACTGAGACACAAAGTCCCCCCCAGGGAACCTGAGCCTGTGGTTGAGGTGAGTGAGGAAGGCTGGTGTTCAGAGGCAGAGGGGGCCTGGAAAGAATGATCTAGGGGCTGTAGCTACTTAGTCAATGCATGGGGAGCTGCACGGAATGCTTGTGGGCTTTCTTTTCCTTCTATAGGGCAATGCATTAGCACCTTAACTTCTTGCAACAAAACACCTGGCAACTGAAGGGTTGTCTCACTGCTCCAGAGTATAGTTAACTATCTCACTGCTGTGGGGAAAGCATGGCGGCAGGAGCTTGAGGGAGCTGAGAGACTGACTTTGTGTACCAGTGCTTGCCTGTATGTACATATGTGCACCGTGTACATGCCTGATGGTCAGAGGAGAGCATCATATGCTCTGTACAGGTAGATGGTTGTGAAGTAACATGTAGGTGCTAGGAATTGGACCTGAATCTTCTGCAAGAGCAACAAGTGCTTTTAACTGCTGCGCCACCTCTCCAGCCCCAATGCTCACTTCTTGCTCTCTCCTTTTCCTCAGCCTAGGACCCCAGCCCATCGAAAGGTTCTACCCACATTTAGAGTGGTTTGCAGCAGCAGGCCTAACCTTGATAATCTCACTGATGTGCCCAACGGCTTGTCTCCTAGATGACTCTAGATCCGGCCAAATTAAGTCTCACAGGCAGCCAGCTGTAACTGAGTGCTGGCCACTGAGGACTTAGCCACAAAAACAAGCCATTCCAGTTTGTTCGGAGCTAGATGTGTAGTCTGCAGCATCCACTCACCTGCTCAGCCTCTCAGGGCTGCTGGCACTAGTGCCCCTCCTGGTCTGTGACACACGACCCGTCTCTACCTTTTCCTCATGCTCTGTGTGTCTGCCTGTATCCAATGTCTTTGACATAAGGACATCAGTCATACAGGAAAAGGGTCTACCCTACTCTTAACAAATGCAATGACTATTATTTTCAAAAAAGTCATATTCTGAGATACTGGGATTAAGATTCAGCATATGAACCAGAGTATGGGAACAATCAGTCCAAAACACCCATTTCCCATTCTTTATCCCCTGAGAATTGGTGTGCTGGGCCAGACTGGTAAAGCAGAAGTGACAGGTGCCTGAGGGCCAGGGAGTAACTTAGTCCCGCCTTGTTCTGCTAGCTCAGCCGCAGCCCCAGGTCCCACTGGAGCCAGTGGACCTGGACACGTTCCTGAAGGCAGCAGCCCAGAACCAGGAAGCCCTGATTGACAAGTACCTGACAGATGGAGGGGACCCCAATGCCCATGACAAGGTAGGAGGGTGGGTGATTGCATTTGTGACAACTGGATGTGCCATCTTGTACATTCTAGTTCTCGCCTGGGACAGTGGGTAACTCCGACCTGTTCTAGGAACAGAAGAGGTGTGTATGGGGGGGTGTGTGGCTCTAAGGAGTAGCTCTGCTCTCGGCCTAATTTTGTTTCTCCTCCCAGCTCCACCGCACAGCCTTGCACTGGGCCTGTCTGAAGGGCCACAGACAGCTGGTGAACAAGCTGCTGGCGGCAGGGGCTGCTATAGAGGCACGGGACTTGGTGAGAAACGGGACAGGGAATGTGGAGGCTCTAGTTAGGCTTTGCAACCCAGCGGGTCAGAACACCTTGGTGCTTTGTGTGCAGCTGGACAGGACGCCTGTATTCTGGGCCTGCCGTGGAGGACACCTGGACATTCTCAAGCTGCTGCTTAACCAGGGAGCTCAGGTCAATGCACAGGACAAGGTGAGGGACCACTGCTGCTTTGGGTGATAATCTGTTAGGGACAGACATTAGCATACAAGGAACAGATGTTCCCCTTGGAAGAAGGCACAGCCCTTTTGGGTGGGGTGGAATGGCCAGCCCAGATCCAGCACTGCACACCACTTCTCCCTAGATCTGGAGCACTCCTCTCCATGTAGCAGTGCGCACGGGCCACACTGACTGCCTGGAGCACCTCATTGAGTGTGGCGCCCACATCAATGCACAGGATAAGGTGGGTGCTTGTGAGCAGCTTGGGGCAGGCCGGAGGCCATGTGTCAGCATTGGGCCTATAGCAGTGACCGACTGGTCTCTCCACAGGAAGGGGACACAGCACTCCATGAGGCTGTGCGCTATGGGCACCACAAAGCTACGAAGCTGCTGCTGCTCTATGGAGCCAAGTTGGGCATGAAGAATGTGGTGAGTGCCAGGCAGGCACTTGTGCTGAGGTCAGGGTGAGTACCTGGAGACAGACTGACTCAGTATCCTTGTTCACAGGCCTCCCTGACACCAGTGCAACTGGCACGAGACTGGCAGCGGGGTATCCGGGAAGCACTACAGGCCCATGTGGGGCACCCCCGTACCCGGTGCTGATGACTTTGACCTGTGGGTCACTCCTAACTACCATTCCACACCCACTTTCCCACCCACCTCTAAGTGGTTCTCTGCTCCAGTCCCAAATCCACTGGCATTGCTTCTTTGCCTGAGGCAGCAGGTAGAACAGGCCCCCTGGGTTTCAGTGAGGGAGACTGTGTTCCCTGTCATAGCTGGAGCAGAACCATAAGCAAGAAGTGGATCCAGACAAGGGCCAAGGCCAGAGCAGGAAGTGAACATACCGGCACTACCCACAGCTGGGTCTAGGCCTCTGTCTACCAATCCTTAGATCAGGAGACAGGCCTTGGCCTGTTCTGTAGAGACTATGTGGCCAGCAGCTGCAGGGTACAAGAGAAGAAACAGGCTACCTAAGTGCCAGGCATTGGTGCAGCTCGTGCTGTCCTTTAGGTGGAGTTTCTCCAGGGACTCCACTCCTATCAGCAGCAACCCTGAGAGCATGTGGAGTAGTTCTAGGCACCTCTCCAGACTCTGGGGGTGGTTCTGGCAGGCTGAGGGGCATGACAACAGGATCGCAGCCCCTCGGATGTCAGTACCTACCAGGTTGCCCCAGAAGCTGGAGACTGGTGGACTGGAACTAGTGTGTACTCTGGGAAACTCCACCTAAAGGGCAGCTCTGCTTGTCTTATGTGAGGATAGGGTACCAGGTGCTGGGGATTGCTTGTGGCCCACTCAACTTTTGGGGCGGCGGCCCGCAGCCCTAGCTTACCTGAGGCTCTATTGCCCCCTGGTACTGGGGAAAGCACCTGGACTAAGCTCTGTACCCTGCACACTGAGTCGAGTGGGACAGTCACAGACCCATGCCAACTGGTAGTGTAATGAGGACTTCACACAGGCACACGCTCCTTCCCCTTCCAGCTGTTTCCAGTTCACTGGTGCACTTGTACTACTGGCAGGGCTGGCCCCTAATATGCCAGAAAGTTGACGCTGGGCCCTCCACTGAGGCCACAGGCTGAACAAAGGGCTAAAAGGTGAAGGCTTTGCCTCCCTCACACAGCTCTGAGTTGACGTTCATTTTGGCAGCCTCTCTGCCCGTTACTATGTGAAAGACTAGTGCTCCCTCCTAAAGGCACAAACCTTTCTGTGGGCAGGCCCTGCCCTGTTGTGACACAGTGGGCACCTAGACAACCTGTGCCATGGGCAAGACAGACATTCAAGACTACTCAATATGACGACCCCTCAGAAATGAGGACACTTACATGACACACAAAGCTACCTTTTATACAGGACACTGTTTTCTCATTAAACTGACTATCCACCGCAGCCGAGTTGTCTTATGGGCACCGGGAGGAGGCAGTGCATTGGGCTACATGAAAAACCAAACCAAAGGCCTTGTCATCCTCCACTACAGAGATCTCATGCCAGCGGGTAGCACGACATGTCACCAAATGCAAGGCATGCTTTACACATCAGGGAGCGGGAGGAGAGGGTCCTGGCACTTGGCTCTCATGTTCTGGACCCACAGTTTTTAAAAGTCCTGATGTCTGCTGGGTATGATGGCACACACCTTTAATCTTGGCATTTAGGGGAGGCAGACCTATCTCTGAGTCCAAGGCCAATCTGATCAACATATTGAGTTCCAGACCAGCCAGGGTTACACAGTGAGACCTTTTCTGAAAATCCTAATGTCTAATGTTACTAGGTCAGAAGCCCTGGAAGGAGGATCCAAGTATTAGTTGAGGACATGGCTATCTACAAATACTAGCAAATTGTAAGGACGTCTAGGTAGGTGATGGGTGATAAATATCTACCTTAATGTAAATAGTCCAAGATCTCACGACACAATATAAACAAAAATCTGTTTCTCCCTAATACCAATGAACATCATGGATAAAAAAAAAAAAAAACAAACCAAACATAGTACAACTGTTTTAAGTTTAAACCTTAAAAAAAGTAAACTGCTGAAGCCTACAAATGAAAATGTTGACATAGACATACCATGTTCATGGACTAGAAGGCACAACATGCAAAGATGTCAGCTCTTCCCACATTGACAACATAAAGGCTTAACACAGGTCTTACCAAAATCCAAGAAAGATGTAAACAAGATTATCTAAACTTTGTAAGAAAATGTATACCCTAAGCAATTTTGAGCCATACATGGTAGCTCCTGCCAGTAATCCCAGCACTTGGAAGGCCTCAGGAAAATTGCTTTGTGTTGCAGCTTTAAGGCACACAGCACAGGCAATACATTGAGACTATATATGAAAAAACACCCAAATTCTGAAAAAGAAAAGGTAACCATGATGTTCCATGGTTATAAATCTAGCACTTGGTAGGCTGAGGCAGGGGGACTGTGAAGTCAGTTTGGCCCACAGACTGAGATACCCCCTACCCCTTGGGGGGTGTTGTTAAAATAGGTTTCTTCTTAAAATTCATCCTGTAGACCAGGCTGGCCTTGAACTCAACCACCTGCCTCTGAGTGCTTAAAGGCACACCATCACACCCAGCCTGGGGGGAAAAAGGGAAAAGTGGGTCCAACTTCAGTGATCCTGAGTATAGTGGATGATATATCCACTCTAATGTGATGTGGTAGACAACTCAGAAACAGTCCCCCCCCCCCCCCCACAAATACACCCAACAGAGGGAGAGATGCCTTTTCAACAAAAGAACATCCTTAGGCTAAACAAGGAATGGGGTGGGGGGAGCCAGAGAAAGCAAGTTTATGAATTTGAGGCCAGCCTGAGCCTATAAATAACAAAAACCCTAAACACCAATAACAAAAAACCAGCTGTGGGGGCCAGAGAGGGCTGAGCAGCAAAGAGCACCAGTCCTGGCTGCTCCTCCAAAGGACCGGGGTTCAGTTCTCAGCACCACTAACTCCAGTTCCAGGGAGGATCCGATGCCTTTTGGCCTCTGCAGGCACTAAGCATGTACGTGATGTACAGACATGCAGGCAAACCGCTCATATTCATAAATTACAAAACAGCTGTGACCAAGCCTTATTTATGGAGATATTAATTTAAAATGGATCACAAGCTTACGTGTAGAACAGGAATTCAAACTGTTAGGGAAAAAGGTAGACAATTTCTGAGATCTAGAACAGCTGGATATGCTGAAAGCACAAAAGAAAGTTTGGTAAAATGAATTTGACCACAATTAAAAACCTTTGTTCCAGATAAGACCGTGCTATAAGAACACAATCTCACTGTTAGTATGCTCTTACTGTGAGCGTACACCTGAGATGGGCAGCTCAGAGGAGCCTGGGGTTGCTTGGTCCTCTGGGCCATGTACATTCTAAGGAGGGAAAACATGGGAGAGGCTTCTTCACCTCGCAGTCATCAGGGAGAGGGAGGAAGAGGCCAAGGCCCCAACAGTCCCTTTGAGGGCATGCCCAGTGACCTCAAAGGGATTAAGTCTTTAGTGCGCAGGCCTGAGGGGACACTTCAGATCTAGACTACAGCACTACAGGCTTAAAATCTCTGCAAACCAAACATCCAACAAAGGGTTTTAGAATCTGAAGTTCTCAGACAAAAAAGGTGTGTGGGGGGGGCAAATGAATGGGCAAAGAACAGACACGACACCAAAATGAAAACACGAACAGAGTCATGTATAGTGCTGGATTCCATCAGGAAAAGCAGACAAGAACCACAGTGGTGCTGGTGGTCACTTATCTCACTTACCTTATAGCTGAAGTAAAAACAATGACCATCTGGAGGATTTGAGAAACTGGATCCTTCCTATAATTCATGTAGGAATTGAAGGTTGTACACAGCTACAGCCAAAGGCCTGAAAGTTTCTTTTTAAAAGATAAACAACCTAGCAACTGTACTCCTGGCACTTCCCCAGAGTCAACACCAATCTGCACACCAAACTCTGTACATGAATGTTCATAGCAGCTTTATTTAGAGAAGGCCAAACACTGGAAACAACCCAGATGTCCAATGACGGGGCAGGACACCATGGAACACCACTTGGCAAGAAAGGGAACAAACTACAGACACAATGAGCTGGGTCGATCCCCAGGGCACTGTGCTGAGTGCCACACACTGCACAGCCCTGAAACATTCTTGAAACAACAAAATAACAGAGATGAGAACAGTCTAAGAATGGTTGCCAGGGCTTAGGGATGGGGCTGCTGGCTCTGAGTGGCAGTCCATGGGGTACCCTGGTAGTGGCAGGACAGTGGGTTAGACTTGGGTCTACACAGGTGCCAGGTACCATCTGCACCAATCCAGGCTTTGAGACTACATTCTAGTTTGTGAGATAGGACCACTGAGGAAAAGCAGATAAAGGGTACATGGACCATATCTTTGTAACTCCCTATGAATCTGCACGTACTATACAATACAGAGTCAGGTAAATAGGAAAACAATAGCTCTAAGTGAATTTTGGCATCCTACCTTGGAATCCTGCAACAGATAAAGGATATTACCAAAAAAAAAAAAAAAAAAAAAAAACCAAATCAAGTCTCCAGTTAAATAGTATGGCACCAATGTTAGCATTTTAATTTTGATAAATGTAACAAGGTTATTTAATACGTTAATAGTAGAGGAAGCTGAGTACAGGGCACGTGGAACTCTTCTATGCATCTAACACTATTTCAAGCCCGTAACCCTGGTGTTCAAGGTGACTACCTCAGAAGCCCAGCAGGGCCCAGCTATTGAAGGTTCTAATTGGCCAGGTGATTCTGAGGTGCAGCCAAAATGCAAAATTCTGTTCTGGGGAGAGATGATTTAAGTATTTGCTTCCAACCTGAGTTTGTTCTTAGAGCATATTCCTTGAGAATATTTTCTCAGCATACCACTGTTCCCTTGGCCTGCAAGTCTCACTTACCAGGACCCACATTCTTTTGAGGAAAGTTCCAGAAATCTCCCTTCCCACCCCAACCTATGGTCCCAGAGCTGAAACTGTTGAAGGAAAATGTAGGTAAACTAGAAGAGAAAAACAGGAGTTTTCCCACCCCTGCATCCCCAAAACACCACCACTGGAAAAGGGGACAGAATCTGAAAACCTTGACTTCTCAGCAGGTAAAAAGGAGGAATCGGGTTTGCAGACAGTCCTCCCTGACTGCTGCTCACCACACGGTACAGCGGCACATCTCCGGGGCTTAGGACAGAAGTACAAGGCAGGTACAATAAGCGGTCACTCAACACTGACTTTTAGCCTTCCACCCATGACCTCAAACAGAAACTGACAATACCATTAGTGGCACTATGCACAGGTGGAGGAGAAATGCAATCTGACCCCGGGCCATGCTGGGCAGGCTTCCTACTGTGTAACTGGGCCAGCCTGCTTATGACTTCAGAAGGAGTCAGAGAAGCCACCTCCACAGGAGGGAGCAGAACTAGGGCACATATTTATTGGGGGAACTGTGCTTTTAGATTTGGCACATGGAAAAAACTGGAGTGTATGAATCAAAATATGGCATTGTAAGGGAAGCCAAAAAGTACATGACAGGGCCATAGATTGAATCTCCATCTAAAGCAGGCACTCTTGGTTTGCTCACAAAGTGATGCCAGCAACAGAGGGTTGGCCAACCAAAAACAAAGAGGCCAAGGCCATGTAAAGTCAGTAACTGTGCACTCACATGGCACCTAGCTCAGGGAGGTATAGACACTGTGCTGTTACAGCATCAGGGGAGAAACTGGGGACTAGAGATGATACTGTTCCTTCCATCCCCAGACACAGGCTTCTGAAGGACTGACCTGCCAATCCGATCTCCTAAGGGAAGGCAGGGTCAGCTGAAGGCCCAGGACCCACATCTTATAATGGCCATCTAAAACGTGGCCAGAATCGGTGGAGACAGGCTGGCATGAAGCTCCTGATTGACTCTCCCCAGCTCCCCACAAGCTCGTCCATTTCCAGCTCAGGGCTGCCTGACAAGCAGTTACACTGCTGGGTTCTGCCCAGGGCTCTCCTCCACTGGGATGCCAGGTCTGTTGTTGATGGACCCTAAGGGGGGGAAAAAGAGAACGGTATTCACACTAGTCAAGAGAGCAGGCTCTAGCAAAACAAAGTACTGAACCTTTAGGACAAAGAGAAACAGCTTGGATAGATGGGCCCCCAGGACACCTCAGGAACCATCAAAGCAGAGTCAGGAACACGGTCAGTAGGCCTCAAGAGAGAAACCCATTCCAAGGGCAGATGTCACCCATAAAGGACAAAGATAAGCTATTGATTTTTTTTTTATAGCTTATGTCATTGGTTTGTGGGTCTGCCCTTCCCCCACTTCTTTGGGGCAGCAGCAGGGGTTGAGACATATGTATGGAGGTCAGAGGATAACCTGTGAGATTCAGTTCTTACCTTCTACACATAGGTGCTGGGGACTGAGCTTGGGTCATCAGGCTTGGTGGCAAGCATCTTTACCCACAGAGCTATACTGCCAGCCCTTATTTTGTTTTGAGACAAAGTCTTGCTGGCTGGCTTGGAATTCACCATGCAGTGCAGAGTGACCTCAAACTCAAGGCAGTTCTCCTGCCTCATCCTCTGGAGTGCTGAGATTATAGGTGTGAGCCATGGTACCTAGGGGGTGCTATGTATTTCTGACTCCTGGGGGCTCAGGCAGCTATGCTGGGCAAAAGAAACTTCCGTGGATGATCAAGAGCCCCTGTGCTACAAGGAAGCCTTGTGCGCCAGGACTAACAGGTGTGTCATGTAAATACATAAACATAAACATAGTATCCCTCCCAACTCCCCCCACCAAAAGAAACACACCACTGCCTGGGGAAGCTGTCTGTAGTGCCTGCCAACAGCTAAAGGATGGGGAAAGTAAATCAAAGAAAAAGGAAACAGATATTTACCTTGGTGTTTTCTTAAAACAAAAAATGCTCACTAGTCCACAGTCATTTATCAACTGCAGTGTCCAAATGTGCCAAAGAGAGAAAGGCCTACTGGGAAGGCTGAGAGAGCGGAGAGAAGAGAGAAGAGGAAACACGCTGTTGAGTGGCAGTGGGCCTCAGCTCCTCGGCGCCACGCGGAAGGCTTGCTGGGGACCACAGAGGGAAGTCCCGATCACAGGGCTGCCAGGGCCAGGAGTCCCAGGGTCAGAAAACTCAGAAAAGGGCCAAGAGTTTACATTTTGCAAGTCACCATTGCCACTCAGAGGCAGCCAGACAACCCCAACAAATGGGTGGACTCTAATAAAACCTTATTCATAAACTCTGGAACCTGGCCAAACCAGGCTTCCCACACCATAGTTTGTTGATCCCTGATGTAAGTGGGTTTTTTTTTTTTTAATTTGTTTGTTTTTCTTTTTCTCCAAGACAGGGTTTCTCTGTGTAGCCCTGGCTGTCCTGGAACTATGTAGACCAGGCTGTCCTGAATTCAGAGATCCATCGGCCTCTGCCTCTTGAGTGCTGGGATAAAAGGTGTGTAACTGCCACCACCTGGCCCAACCCCTATACATCAATTTAAAATTCTTATACCTTCCAAATATTTCAACAAAAGCACTTTTCTGCCAGGGATTTAGTGCCCAAATCCACCGGGACTGAGTCTCTCTGCACTAGTTTAAACGGTGCCCTCTGAAAGCAGCACTGTGCAGCAACTCAAACACAGGAAGACCCCAGAGTTAGGCAAACATCAGGTCACACCTAGGTGAAAATTGGCAAACAGCAATAGATAAACCATTAAGGAAGAAATGGCCCTCAAGCCACTGTAAATTACTCTTTGTAAAGGATGTCCAAAGAATGGGCAAAGCCAAGAGGATTACAAATTCTCTACAGACTAGAGGTACAGCTCAAATGGTAGAATGCTGGCCTAGGTGTGGCAGGCTTTACGTTCAACCCCCGTTCAACCCCCTGCACCTGGAAAGAAAAACAGGCAAAGGAAACGAGGAGGAGGGAGCTAAGGGGGGGGGGGACAGAATGGGGAAGGGGAGAAAAATCCCTGGCGGAAGATACTCTTTATCTTAAAAAAAAGATTTTATTTGTTTATTTATTTATGTATAGTGTTCTACTTGCGTGTATGCCTACAGGCCAGAAGAGGGCACTGTATGTATGTATGTATGTATGTATGTATGTATGTATGTATGTATGTATGTATGTATAGTGTTCTACTTGCATGTATGCCTACAGGCCAGAAGAGGGCACCAGATCTCATTACGGGTGCTGTGAGTCTCCACGTGGGTGCTGGGAATTGAACTCAGGACCCCTGGAAGAGCAGCCAGTGCTTTTAACTGCTGAGCCATCTCTACAGCCAAGAAGACACTCTTAAGTAGAACTATCCTCCCAGTTCATGTTTATACCTTGAATATAGCCCATGCAGTCTGAGTTAGTGGTTGGAGCCAGAAAACATTCATGTTTTAGAAACAAGTCTTGGTAAGGCTAATGTGACTGTGTATACTTCTGTTTTGGGGCATTCCACAAAATGCCACGGTGAACACTGACCACCGTGTGAACACAGTGAGAGATAGCTTTCTGAAATTGACATTCCTTTGAATGGAAGGTGACCCATGCCCGCAGCCAAGACTGCCTCACAGCTGTCCCTAGTAATACCTAGAGCCAGAGCCCATAGGAGCTGAGCCATCATGGTGGCTCAGGTGGTCAGGGGTTTCTGTCCTTTGTGCCATGTGTCACCTCTTGATTAAAAAAGCAATTTCTACTGTAAGATCATGTTTGTGATTTTAAATGTGGGTCTCAGTGACCACAGCCCTAAGTCCCCAGGAGGCTGCCTAGCTCCGGGCCCTCAAACCCCACTCCTCATCTGTCGGACAAACCCAGCAATTCCCACCTCTCAGGATGTGGGCAGCTTCACCGGTGAAGATGGGGTCAGCTCTAAACATGGTTCTTGCAGAGTAAATACCCGGTAAGAATTTGGGTCCCTTGGGTGGCAGAATAGAGCTAATTCTGAGGTTCAGTTTGGCAAGGATCAATAAACTCAAGAAACAACAGAAAGCCCTTGGCCTTCATTACCCAAACCATAGACTCTGAGGCAGCCCAGTGCCTACCCATAATGCAGTCTACCCCCGATCCAAGTGCTTTCTGCATCCAACTCTACAGAACTTCACTACCAACATGTGCTGGCCCAGCTCCACAGCAAGTGTTCCTTCAAGCCAGGGCCGCGGATAAGCCAAATCTTGATTCTCTAAGTGACCTGAGAGTTTCTAAACTGAACATTTTCCCACTTATCAAGAACTAATTAAGTCATCTCTAAGAGGCCAGAGAGAAAAGGCGTTCTGCTCTATTTTGAGTGCCACTTGATCGAGTAATTCAAGCTACTCCAAAGAGCAAGAAGGGAAAGGATGGGCAGAGAAGCGAGGATACAAGACAGGGGAGCAGGGAGCACAAGCAGCGCAGTAGCAGGATTTCCCGTGACCCCTGGACCCCAACACTGCAGGATGTTCCGTGTGGGGCTTACCTGCTGTCTCAGTGGACTTATTACCAAGGAGCCTGGTCTGGCTGCCTGGGATGGCGTGGAGCTCAGCATTATCTGGGGACGGAGGCAAGCTTTGGGCTCGGGAAGCCAGGAGTGCATTAAGGTACTGCAGCCGTGTGACCTAGAGAACAGAGAAATGACACAGCAGGTGCAATCTGTGAGACACACAGCAGCTCCCACCTCAGACCTGCGAGCACGACCTTTAAATGAGTGAAGGGCACAAAGTCTTTGAGCCACATGGTTTTGCTTTACAGTCAAATTTTAAGATTTTAAGATCTATAATGGAGAGATCAGGTGCAAGGCCTCCAGACATGCCCAGACCCCAAAGCCCAACAGTCCAGGGAAAGGGGGAGGTCCTACCATTCAGGATGTGAGCCTGTCAACTTGTGCTGAGTTCACTCTCCAACTTCACAGTGATCAGCTGAACTAGCCCCTTGGGAGCACAAAGTCAGTTAAAGTAGCACCAATGTGTAGCCCAAACAGTCACCTTAATGAGTTGCAGGTCAGAAAGAGCCCTCACGGTGTAGTCAGGACAGTATGTGGAGGAGCGAGTGCTCTCAGTTGGTTCAAGCTGCAGGTCATGGCGGATGAGCTGGCGTGAAGACACTGGGGATTGGTGAGCTATGGAAGGAATAATCAGAGACAGTGGAAGGCAATGGGACAACCGCACCGCCTCTAGGGCCCACCCCTTAAGTCACCTTTGAGAGATGGGTGGGAACATGGAAGACCATGAAGAAGCCACCTTGAAACGTTTGCAGGGACTGAGTGGGCTACCAATATAAACAAGGCAGAGATGCTGCTCTGCCAACTACACTGCCTAGAGACAAGAGGCCCCTTGGGGGGCAGAGACACAGGCTCTTGCCAAGCCAGTGTCCTGGGCACAAAGATCTGCCGCAGCATCCAGAGTGTCTGCTAATCATGACTTACCTGAAGACGGAGCTGTCAGAGCAGACACTCCATAGTATGTGAAGGCCCCATTCTCAAACTTCAGGCCCTCTTTCCCAATTTCCACCTCGACCTTGCCCTGGGAGGAAGACAGAGGTGGACAGGTTATCTCTCCCATCATAAGAGAGTACAGGAGAAACCACAGCCCCAATTGTTTAAGAGTGGCTGTCTGAATCTGTCTCCAGGTTTGGGCAACCATGGTTACCTGTAAGATGAGAATGAAGTAGTCCACCGGCTGGCTGCGCTGGTACAAGTAATGGTGTGCGGCCAGGCGGTTGTTCTCATCAAACCTCACCTCCTGATTGACACTGGGATGCTTCAACAGATGCAGCAAGACTTTCTCGGAGATTCGCAATGGGCTGAACACATCCACCTCTGCTCCACGGTGGGAGAAAGGGACAGTGTCCATTGGGGCCCAAATGGCCTGTCATCACACCTGCCTCCTGCTGCCTCCTGGGCTCTCCCAGTGGTCCCTGGGCTGCGGTAATCCATACAAGAGCGCCAAGCAGGGCATACAACATGGGCCAGATGAGGTTCCCAGAACACACCTTATCAAGAGACACCCACTAGCTCTGCAGAAGGAAGCAGATGCTCTTCGAGAGCCTCCAGCTCACTAGGAGCCAAGCTGGTGTCTGGTCTGGGTGGTTTCTTGACCCTCTGGGTGGTGAGACCAGGGGCAAGGACCATCCTTCACCCTCACCTCGGGAAAGGAAGCGCTGGGTGGCCAGGAGCAGCTGAGGCGAGATTTTTACTTTATATTCATCATCAGACACCTTGAATAAGGAGAATTCCTCCTTCCGCTTAAGAGGGGTGCTCAGGGCAACAGTCCTCTTCTTCACCTTGGTGTCTGCAGAGGCAGAAAAGATGGCATGAGCGGTGATCAGCACGTGAGTATGAACACAAACAGAGCCAATGGCACTGCCATCCACTCCTCCCTGCCAAGGTCCAGGGATTTCAGGGGCCCCAAGGAAACATCCTTGGCACTGCTCCCTGCAAGACACCGAGCTGCCATGCCCACCACACTATAATCCCAGTGCCTAGGACAGAGGAGTCAACAGCCACACTTCTAGCCATGCCCAGAGGAGGTCTGGCTCTCATGCAGAAGAGACTGATCCTGTGGAGATCTTTCAGATCCAAGTGCTTGAAGATCAGCCACAGCAAAGGGCAGCAGCTACCCTGGTGATCCTGCATTGGTTCAGGAATTGAAGACACAGGCGTGGCAGATCAGGGTCCCAAGTGGCCATGTGAGGCCCCAGCTATTAAGCATGGGCTCTGTGTCTGCCCGACAGAGTTGGCAGTCATCCTTAGAAGAGGAAGGCACAATCAAAGGTCCCATGACTGTCTGCTACAGAAGACCTGCTCAGCAGCTAGTTGTAAAGAATATTTTTTCTTCTTTTTTTTGGAGACAGGGTCTACTATACATCCTCTGTTTGTCAGGAACTCAGAGCTACCTGACTTTGCCTTGCTAGGATTAAAGACGTGGAATTTTTTTTTAAAGCCTATATGGTGCAGGTGACCATACCCAGCCCCATTCGAGCTAGACAGATACTCTACTACTGAGCTTCACACCCAGTTCAAAGAAGACATTAAGGAGCTATGCACAACAGAATGTGGGCCAGCAAAAGCAGCAGAAAGGCACTGGCCAGTCAAGGGCAGACACTTCTTTCAGTGATGGAGGGCTGTTACAAAGCCCCTGCTCACACAGGGGCCACAAAAGTCAACAATGGGACAGTCTGCATGGCTTATAAGGAGAGTAACAATGGCCCACACCATAGTAGGAAGATAAGGTCTGATGGAGCTCTAGCTAGTTTTCAGCAGCATTAAGACCCACTGGCCCCTGAATCAGACGTCTTTCAGGCTGCTGGGAGGGTTCTTGAGTTAGAGAACGAAGGTCAAACTCACGGTAGTCTTCAGACTCGTCCAGGATCTCAGACCTGATGATCTCCTCAATGACGTCCTCCAGCGTGACCAAGCCCAGCACCTCGTAGAAGGGGTCACCCTCTCCTTCATTGTTCACCTTCTGCACGATGGCCAGGTGGGACTTCCCTGTAGGAGAGGACACGTGTATTTGCAGCCTGCAGGACCTCCCAGGTTTTCTTACACCAAAAAACAGAAGATGCTTATACTGACCACACCACACCCTTTCCTCTGCGCACTAGTGAGCACACAAGGACCTCATACCTGCTACACAGCACTCTAGCCCCTGCCCTGAGCTGTATTCTCAGCCCTCTTTGTAACCCACGCCCCCTCTTTGGTTTTTTTGAGACAGAGTTTCTTTGTGTAGCCCTAGCTGTTCTGGAACTCACAGAGATCTGCCTGCCTCTGCCTCTTGAGTGCTGGGATTAATGGTGGGCGCCACCACTGCCTGGCCTGATTTTATTTTATTACTCATCTATCTGACTTTATTTTTAATGCAGGGCTTCATTACTGCAGCCAATGTCCTGGCAATTACAATGCTCCTGCCTCAGTCTCAGGAGTGCTGAGATCAAATGTACACTACTGTACTTACTTTTCCCCTTTTGTTTCTTGAGGAAGGGTCTTACTATACAATCTCGGTTGGCTTGGGATGTGACCCTCTTGCCTCTCTAGTGCTAAGAGGGTAGACATGCATCCTCAGCAGGTTTTCCCAATTCTGGAGCTGCCCCTCAGGGGTCTTCTAGAGGATGGGACTGGTAAGTGCGGGCATTTAGAATCCGCAGTATGTCAAGAAGAAGAACTATAGCTGGAACATGCCCCCTTGCTCCTGTGTCTTTCTCATTCACTTTCCTATTGGCTGATTTAATGAGGACAGAAACACTTGACAAAACCCAACTCTTAAAGGGCTGGCAAATGTTGGGGAAACTTCACAAATTTACTTGGGGGTCACAAAGTGTTTTCCATCCATAAAACTTTATGTCTATCTCAAAGACAGAGTGCAAGTTATATATGTAATTTAAAATCTTTTAGTAACATTTTAACACTATATGTTATCCAATAGAGCTAAAGTACCATCCCAACATGTAACCAACATGAAAACACCTCTTTTTATGTTTTATAACACACCTTTGAAACCTGATATATATGTGCCTAACACTTGTAGCACACAACAACCCAGAAAAGGGTCCACTCAAGGGCACCAGAGTCATAGGTGGATTAGAGGGTTATAGGATGGAGACAAGCAGGTCCAAGGCAATGAGAACACACGCTCCTATTACTGGTGAAAAAAACTGGCCCAGACCCACATGGGGGCTATTTGCTCCCAGGATCTTTTGAAGAAAATGCCTCGGCCTTATATGAATCATGAAATATAAACCAAATAATGCATCTTTCTTCAGGAGGCTTCAACGCCCCAGGGAAAAGATGAAAGCCTCTCAGGAGGAAAAGGCCATATGCCCCTGATAACTGCTCATTCTGTTGAGTCAGAGGTCCTGGGTCAAAGTGCCAGGTTTCTAATTCCTTCCAATCCTTGGTGATAGTCCTGGAACTAACTCAAGCTAGCAGGCAGGTGCCATTTCCTCAAGGAATACGAGGAATTCCATGCTCTGCCATGGAATACGAACTTGTGAGGCCAGGCAGGGAAGGTCAAGAGTGCAAGATGCAAGTTTTGGATTCTCAAAACCAAAGTCTAGGTTCTAAAAGGCCACTCAGAGCAGAGAAGCCTCAAGGCAGCTCCCTCCTTCCAAGAGTGAGTCCTTCACTCCAACATGCCACTTACTGAAAGGGATTAACCTCTCCAGTGCTCTCAAACTTCTTTGAAAAGACTCACAATTCTGTGACCTGTTGGACCGGGTAGTTCAATAATAAATGGAAGGAGTCCCTGGCCATATGACTCCATAAGATAGAGAGCTTGGATGCCTTTTATAAGGAAACAGCAGGGAGAAAGAAAGAGGGGCTGGAGGAATTAACATTTTGTCTCCACTGGACAGGACTGGATATTCCCTAGGGTACAGTCTGGCTAGACCAGCTCCACAGAACCATGGCAGGTATGACTGACATGACCTGATGAATTAACCACAAACTGGAAGGCTCTAGAATTTTCATTTTAGTTAGCAGGCTCAAAAGCAGTGTAATTATTTGGATGCTGGAACACTGTGTGTATGTGTGTGTTGCTGGGGACAGAAACCAGGGTCTTTCTCACTCTTCCATCACTGACTGACTTATGCCTCAAGCCCCCTTTGATATCTCCTAAAGCTATCATGTATGTATGCACACTGAGAAAAATCATGTGGCAACATCCTTCCAGCAACTGGGCAAAGCTGACTCATCTCAGCACCATGACAACCCTTGGCTCGACAGACAGTAAACCAGACCTCATCCCTAATCCTTCCTCTGCTTCAAGAGTCCATGGGGTTGACGGGGAAGAAGTCAATGGGTTGACTGCTTGCTTTATTCCAAAGTACTCTCTCTGTCAGGCCACTTGTGCACAAAACAATCGCTGCAAGGGGCATCTCTTCCCCAGTTTACAAAAGTCCCAACCTAATGCTGCTTGAAATAAGCACATGGACCAGCACTCCCACAGGGTGCTAGACAAGGTACCACAGACTCAAGCTCCGGGAAGATCAGAGGCCACCACATAGACCAGGGCTCCCACAGGGTGCTAGACAAGGTACCACAGACTCAAGCTCCAGGAAGATCAGAGGCCACCACAGTCTCAGATGCTTGTGAGAGGGGAGAGAACTGATCTAAAAACTGTGACACCAGGAAGACTGTCACTTGTTCTTAAGAGGGAAAGTATAAAGAGCTGGGCCAGAAAGGACCCACACAAGGAAATGCAGGCCAAGGAAGCTCCCCATTCATAACAGGACCAAAGTCGGGGGACAGAAAGGATCCCACTGATCTCTAGGTTGTACCCTGCTCCTAAAAGGCATGTTATTGGGAAGCTTCTGGGATAATCTATTTAAACAGAGAGGCATTCAGCCCCAAATCCTTCAGTATCAGGATGCTTGAAACCTGCCTGCTGAGTCCTCCAGAGGTCAACCCCAAATCTGGAGCAACCACACCCGTGGCCTTCCCTGTGTGTGACATTTCCTTCTTGTTGACATGTCTAATTGACATGTCTTTTTCCATCCTAAACCCAAAAGCAGGTTTCTCCCCTGCCACACATTCTCCATCCTTTGGTCCTCTGCTGGTCACTGATCCCTGGGCTCTACTTTGCAGCATTGCACAGTGAGGGAAGGCCATCCACATTCATTCTCCCAATTACTCCTCTGCCCCAGATCCACAGATCAAGGACAAAAACTCAGTGGCAAAGTGCTTGACTAACAAATACCTGGCTCTGGGTTCCTTCCCTAGCACCGCGAGGGAAAAAAGTCAAAGTCATTCTGATTGCTGACCTCTCTTAAAAGGTGGTCTGCTCTCTTAGCCCTCAGGACATCCTAAGCTTCTGGTTCCTCTTACTTCTGGGGTCCAGAATGTTCCTGGTATCTTTTCCTGCCCCATCCTCCTGTGTGCTTTGTGTACCACTCCTGTAGCCTGGGAGATAGATTACTTCTACGCTGACATTTGAATCTTCACCTCCTCTTCAATTTTTTGTTTGCAGTTCATATCAGTTGCCTGCTAGGAATCTGTTCCTTGGGACACAAATTCCAATGTAAGAAAACACCTGCTCCTGGCTCCAGCCAATACTATCATACACACAGGTTTCCTCCAGTACTAGCTCTGGCTCCACAGCCTTAGCCAAGCAGCAAATGACCTCTATTCTACCTCCTAATGCCTCCTTGGTCACCTCCTCAAGCCAATGTGGCACACTTCCTGGTTTCCCGCACCACTGCTGTCCACATCAGCCACTCATCAGTACAAACCACTCTGGGTTACAATCTGGGTGTAGGAAACACCCAGCACGTTAGTCGGAGCACTTTAGGGAGACAGCAGCCCAGACAGACCCTATCCACTCCCTAGAAAGAGGCTGCAGGACCAAGTTCTAGGAAAAAGCCAAGACACACCTGAGAGGTCCTCCAACAGACCAGTCTCCCACTCACCCATTCATGGTCTACACACAGGCAGACAAAGACAAAGGGAGACCGGGCCTGCAGAGTGCCCGTCAGAGCCTGGCACACACTGCACTCAACACAAGAGTGTGTTCGTTACCGAGAGCTGCCTCCTGCACTGACTGTCAGGGGCTGCGTGGACCTGGGACCAGAAGATTTGCCAGCTGCCCAGTTCAAGGGGGTTGTGCTCCACCCACTTCTAATCACGCAGTCCAGCCCACCTAGAGCCCTGGTATGCATCTCCCCTACCCTCCAAAGAGGCATTAGCAGGTAGGCAAGGAACACTCGGGCTCTAGAAAGCACCCTAAGGATGAGGATAGAGAGCTATACTGGAAGCCACATCCTTTTGATTCCCCTCCCCTCTCCCCCCTCCAGCCTTCTCAGGTACCAGACATGCACTAAGTGAGCATACATATACGCAAGCAAAACACTCATAACCATAAAATAAGTAAATCTTAAAAGCTGCTTAAAGCAGTGAAAGGAGTTGGTGAAAAATGTCAAATTAAGGGAGAATCCCAGAAGCTTTAGGCAGAGAAAGGAGAGACTGGAAATTGGAAATGGGGAAGAGCACCTGCCTGGCATGCGTGAGCACCTGGGCTTAATGACTGGTGATGAAAACCAATTTAAAATCAAAGAGATGGTTCAGCTGTTAAGAGCACTGGAGGACCCAGGGTTCAGTTCCCAGCACCTACAGGACGGCTAACAACTGTAACTCCAGTCCTAAGGAACCCAGTCCCTCTTCTGGCTTCCATAAAAATGGCATGCAAACGGTACCCAGATATAATACATACAAACACTCATACCCGTAAAAATAAAAATCTCAGGGAAAAAAAAAACCTTTAAGGGAAAAGAGCCAGAAAGGGTAATTAAATCACTATTCATGATGTTGCTTTCAATGACATTAAACGAAAGTTTCCTCAGTACCCTTAGAGAACTATTTATGAGTCCTTCCTTGTCCTGCAACCTGGAAGGGCCAGAAACATCACAGGTCCAGCTAATTTAATATTAAGTGGGCGAAGATAACAATTTCCAGTTACCATAGCCTTCTGACATCCTTTTAGTTACTATCCAAGAATCTGGGTGAGCCTGGAAACCCAAGCGCACAGAAATGGCCCAGGAGAAAGAAACCTCTGGGGTTAGAGCCAAGTAGACAAGCTTGCTGCCAACTGAGTGAGAGGGACCACGGGAGGCTTTTGTTCATTCATTTACTTTTGAGGCAGAATCTTTAGCCCAGTCTGGCTTCCATCTTTCTAAGTAGGTAGGCCACCACCTACTTAGTGACTCAGGGCTTCGTGTATGTTAGGCAAGCACTGAGTTATGTCTTCTCTCTCTTTTTTAAATAAACAGTGTCTTACTACACAACCCAGACTGGCCTGGAACCACACCTTCCGATCCTCCTGCACCAGACTTACACAGTACTTCCCTTCCCATTTCTAAAAGATGGTCTTGAATTATTCCCAAAGGTCATTCCAGGACTCAAGGCCACCACTTTCTGGAAAAGGTCAAGTCTTAGTGACCTGTCTAGTGGAGTGAGACCCTTCCCACCATCCCCTTACCTCGCTTGAACTCCTCCAGGACAGCGTCCAATTTGGTGTCGTTGAAGACAAAGTGGAGGGGATGGTTGTAGAAACGGGTGATGGTGCTGAGCGGCGTGCAGTCCTCGGGGTCCACGAAGGCCAAGTCCTTGAGGTACAGTATGTCCACGATGTTGGAGCGCTCCTCCTCGTACACCGGGATGCGCGTGTGGCCGCTCTGCATGATACTGGCGAGGACGCCGAAGTCCAGGACAGCGCCGGAGTCCAACATAAAGCAGTCTTCGAGGGGCGTGAGCACGTCCTCCACGGTCCGGTAGCGCAGCACGCCCTTGCTGAGATCGCTGTAGGGGTCGCCGCCGCCGCGCGCCAGCTCCAGCACGCGCTCCCGGAGACGCCCCGGCCGCGCTGCCAGCTCCAGCAGCTGCCCCACTGGCAGCGCCACGGGCAAGGTGAGCAGCACCGCCAGGCGGCTGAGGCCCAGCGCGCGCGGCGCCAGCGCCAGCGCCCAGCGCCCGCTCACGGCGACCGGCAGCACCTCGCCCACCAGGAACACCAGCCCAGCGCAACCCAGCACGGCGGGCACGGCTCGCTGGCCGGCCGCTCGGTACAGCAGCACCGCCAGGGCCGCCTGCGCCAAGCTGGCCAGCAGTAGCAGCGCGCCCAGGGCGCAGCCAGCCCAGCGCCGCGCGGGTTCCAGGCGCCGCGCCGCCGCGCGCTCCGCCTCCGAGCCGCTCTCGCGCAGCACCTGCACCTCGGCCGGCGCCAGCGCCAGCGCGCTCAGCTGCAGGCCGCGCGCAACAGCCGCCAGGGCCAGCAACCCGGCCGCCCCCAGCCCCAACGCCCAGGGCGGCGCCGCCTCCTCGGCCGCCCCGCCGCCCGGTTCCACGCGCACCGCCAGCAGCGCGGAGCGCGGGTGCCCGGCCTCGGCGCGCAGGCGCAGCAGCGCACGCCACTCGCCCGTGGGGGCGGCCACCTCGTCGGGCTCGGTAGCCCGCCCGCCCTCGGGGCAGCCTGAGCCCTCCGGGGCCACCCAGGTCCAGGAACTGTTGGCTAAACCCGAGCAGAAGAGTCGCAAGCAGAGAGTGGCCTCCGGCGCTGCCCTTCCGCGCAGTGAGCCTGCGCCCGGCGCGCTGTCTTCCTCCATGCAGAAGCTCAGCAGTCCCGCTCCCGGCGCCGCCTCCCCCGCGGTGCTGCCCAGACAGAGCGCGGCAAGCACCCAGCCCAGCCAACCCGCCACAGCCGCAGTCGCCGCCGCCATGGCCTACTACCCCTTCTGGGCCTCAGGCGCAGCCTACCCCACTCACCCGCGCCTCCGCTGCTGCGGCCAATCGGCGCAGGCCTTCGCGTCACTTTGACCAATAGGCGGCCGGCGAGGGCGGGCTCCGGGGGAGAACTAGGCTGCGCCGGGGAGTAAACAAGCGGCGCGGGGCGGGCCGGGGGGCGTGGGGCTTGGCCGGCCAGGGAGAATTCCGAGCGGCGGTCTGGGACGACCTAAAGGGTCCCGGCGCGTGTGTAGGAGGAAAGGAAGCTTGTTGACCCCTTGGCCTGCAAGGCTTAGAGATGAATAAGAACCAGGGACTGGACGCAGGGAAGCCAGCGGTTCTTTGTTTATAAGATTTATTTTTTAATTATGTGTATGCGTGTGAGGTTTTTGCGTGCTCTGGGGGCCAGAAGAGGGCGTCGGATCCCCCTGGAGCTGGAGTCACTAGTGAGGTGGTGCTGGGAATTGTCCTCAGCAAGCAAGCATTCTTCACCTCTGAGCCTATTGGTTTGTTTTAAAACTGAGGTTTCTTGAAGGTGTTCCTGTTTTGTGTCGGACTTTGTGGACATCAAGACACACCATTAAAAACTAAAAGTTCTCCCCAAGTCTTTCCAAAGTTGGCAGTGACTCTTATACATGGTAACCCAGAACAGTGGATGGCAAATCCCATCTCTGCTTCCCTGTGTTTGTTATCTGAGCACTGCTATATGCTCCAAGAAGTTTGCCTCTTGCGGACGACAGAACGAGCTACCCGCAGAAGCAATTAAGCCATGGATGCTCTTTTGCACTGGAACTGTCATGCTGCCTGTAAGGAAAAAAGTCCCAGAGCTTTAGCGTAGCTTCAACCTTTATTTTCCACTGTGTCTCCGAGGCAAGATAAACCGCTGACAGCAAGAGGGAACAGATGGTGCAATGAGTCACGTGTCTGAGGCCATCCGCTAGCAAGGAACAACCTACAGGAGAGGAAGGACCTCAATGGAACTTTTTTTCCCCTCTATACTTTTTTTTAATACTTTTTTTTTTTTTACTTATTATGTATACAGTATCCTGTCTATGTGTATGCATGCAGGCCAGAAGAGGGCACCAGACCCCATTACAGATGGTTGTGAGCCACCTTGTAGTTGCTGGGAATTGAACTCAGGACCTTCTGAAGAACAGGCAATTTGGAAACCAATAGATGGCCCTTTACACTGTCAGTATCCGAGCATATGAAGAATCCAGGCCGCTACTGTGGTGTTTTAGTTCAGGGCTCTTCTCTCTGCCATTCTTGCCCCATCTCTGGTTCATCATAACTTCAGTGGAGACACTTGACTTTTATTTAGGTTTCTTACTGGCCCTCCCTGGGTCATTTTCCTTAGTGGTTATTTAGGTCAGAGCATTTCTACTTTTTATCAAAACTATTTATTTGTTTGTTTATGAGATAGGGTTTTTCTGTGTAGCCCTGACTGTCCTCCCCTTGTAGACCAGGCTGGCCTCAAACTCAGAGATCAGCCAGCCCCTGCCTTCTGAGTGCTGGGACTAAAGGTGTGCATTACCACTGCCCAGCAAAACATTTATTATTATTTAAAATTCATAATTACCATAATCCCAGCATTCAGGAAACAGAGGCAGGGTAAATGAGATTTCAAGGCCAGCCTGGGCTACAGAGATCCGCAAAAAACAAAAACTTGGGCTGGTGAGATGGCTTGTGGGTAAAGCCACACAAGCCTGGTGTCCTGAGCTCAGTCCCTGAAACCCACGTAAAGCAAAGAGAGAACCAATTCCACAAAGTTGCCCTTTGACCTCCACAATACAAATGTAAATTTTGTAATAAAAGAATCTAACAAAGCAAAAATCTCCCAGCCCTGGAATATGACCTCCCTGGGTAGCTCCTGCATTTCTTAGCTCAAACATCCCTCCCTCAGAGGATCTTTCCTGATTATGCTGATTAGACTGGGCCAGTATCCAGCCAAGGTTTTCATCTGCTCATTTGGTAAGCATTTCCTACACAGGGTGCATGCAGGACAGGCATCTTCCTAAAGGCTGGGACTCTGGCAGGGACAAAAGCCTCCCACCTTGTGGTGCTCAGAATCTAATGCTGGGAAAACAGAAGACACACAAGTCTATAGTTTAAGGTTTAGTGGAAAGTCCCGAAGATTTGGCTGGATCTGTTATTGGCAAAGGTGGTCAGCGAATTAAACAAATCCGTCATGAGTCAGGAGCATCGATCAAAATTGATGAGCCCTCGGAAGGATCCGAAGATCGGATCGTTACCATCACAGGAACACAGGACCAGATACAGAACCACAGTATTTGCTGCAGAACAGTGTGAAGCAGTATTCTGGAAAGTTTTTCTAAAACTAGTGAAGAACTGAAGGAGTCCTGCATTTTTTTTTATCTGTTTCTGTTTAAAAAGCCAACATTCCTCTGCTTCATAGGTGTTCTGCATTTGAGGTGTAGTGTTGACAAGATGTATAATGTTTTAGTTACTTACAGGGTTGAGGGGAGGGCATGCAAAAACAAACATTAAAAATTTGAAACCGCAGCAGAGTGAATTTAATTTTTCTTTATTGTTGGTGATTTTAAAAAAACTTCCTCCCATGTAATTATTGTGAACACCTTGCTTTGTGGTCACTGTAACTCTGGGGTTGGGGGGCGGGGAGGAAATGTCCCCGGCATTTGTTCAGAGCAGTGTGCAGAATGTAATGCTCTTTTGTAAGAAACGTTTTATGACTTTTAAAATAAATTTAGTGAATCTTAAAAAAAGAGTTAGTGTTATAAAGAGAAAATAAGGAAACACTGAGGAGATGCTCTCTGAAGTGAAGGTAATCAAGGAAGCCTTCTCTAAGGAGGTGACATTTGAACAGAGGTTTATATGAAACACGGGGCAAATCTTACATACTCACTAAGTGGAAGTGACAGCAAGTGAAAGGCCTTGGATGATGATCCCTTCAGGGGCTCTTCCTCACAAGTCAGCTGATGGGCTGGTATCAGCTGGTGTGTAGCAGGAGCTCAGCACCAAACCCATCTTTGGGATGGACAGATGGGATATCATCTCTTCCCATCCCTGTATCCCTATATCTATGCTACCCTTTCATTTGGGATATTCTCTTGGTTGCCTCCCCAAGTGCTTTCCTCCCTATGCCCTCCTCCACTGACAGGGTTTTCCTATACAGCCTAGGACAGCCTCACATTCATGATCTTACTGACTCAGCCTCCTGTGTGCTTCAATTACATATGATAGTATGTGTAGCTCAACCAGAGTAATGGAAGAAAGGAAAGCAAATGGAGACCAACCAGTTTGTATATAGCAAGATCTTGTCTCTAATCAGAGCTAGGCATGGCGTCACATGCATTTAATCCGAGCACTCAGGAAGCAGAGGTAGGTGGAACTCTGAGGACTTCGACGCCAGCCTGGTATTACGGAGCAAGTTCTAGGACAGTTAGAGGTACATAATTTGTTCTGGGAAATTCTGTCTCAAAACAAAATCAAAAACCGTAGGTATGGCGATGCACACCTGCACTCCTAGCATTCAGGAGGTGGAGGCAAGGGGATCCCCACCAATTTGATACTCCATAGTGAGACCCCCCCCCCCTCTCAAGCACAAGCAGAACAACCTCCAGTTTAATGTTGAGCTTTGCTTGCTTGATTCTTGGGCCTTGGAGCACAGAACTGCACAAGCTAGTTTTCAGTATATGTGCAAGCCACAAAAGGGTTCCACAGCAAGGAAACCCTCAGTCAGCTGGACGCTGTCCTCAGGAGACGGACACTTTCCGCCAGGCCATCAATATACACAAAGTAGCCAAACAGCCCTCATCCCCCAGAGGGCGGAAGGGCAATTTGCTCTTCCCAGCTGCTCCATTCCAGCACTGCCATCTGATTCATTTGCCCTGCTTCTGCCAGCAGAACTGCCCTCTACAACTCCTGTAGCAACTGCCGTGATTATAATAGTTTGTAAATTAGAGTTCTGCTTGCATTTCACTTCCAAACAGTTCGAAATATTCAGTTGCCCTTGTCCTGTCACAAGTGACAGCCAGTCACTTCTGTCTCTACAACATACAGTAAATGCGTTCAGAAGCAAAACACCCGAGTTATATGCTCACCAAAACTTATATGCATTTCATTTTTTATTACCAATCAAAAATAAAGTCCATATATTGTTTAGCAAATATTATCATTGTTTTGTGACAAAAGACACAAGAGTCATAACAACAAAACTCCCCGAGAGTCAAACTCATAACAATGTCAAAATAAATCACAAAAATATACAAATTAAAATCTTAATGCAAAATAAATAGGAGTCATTTGCTACGGCAACTGTGACTTGCCTCCCCATTTGGATGTCACCTGCGAAGTCTTCCTTACCTGGGAAGACATACAGACCAGGCCAGTTCCAGGGTATGGCTCAGCCCAGGAACCAGAGGTTGGAAGAGGAAGTGAAAAATTGCACTGGGAGGAGGAAGCCATCAGACCAGTAATATTTGGAAATAATTATGACCCTCTGCAAGAAGTGATTCTAAATGAGGGAGGGGAGGGCTGGGAGGAGAGGCCTGTCTGTTGGTGGTAACTGTGTGTGCAGAGAGGTAGCTGTGGAAGTGTGTGTACCTGCTACTTTTGCCTCACACCCACCACGCGCTTTTGCTCTACCTGACACTTAGGTCTCTCAGGAACACAGCTGGGACACGGGAGCATGCTGCACCTACAGAAAACTAAGGGTTTCTTAAGGACGCAGAGGTCTGGTGTCTTTTCCCTTAGAGTTGAAAACCACCTTCTTCTCCAGGCTTCTAGGAGTAAATTCTGTGAGTTGGGGAGACCTCAGACTGGCCAGGGGTACAAGACACCCTGGTCCTAGGAGTGAGGATTCTCTGGGTACACAGCAGCGTTTGGGGTGACAGAACTCCACTAGCTGAGACAAAGAGTGACTAAATGTCACCAAAGGCCACGTTCTGACTTGCCTGGATCTTACACCCCAGCTCCTATTCCTCCTAACAAAAGGGAAGATGTGGCCCATGGTCCTCAAGTCTCCTTACAATAGAGTTGTGGAACTGTGCCCC